CTGCGCTCTCCTCACCCTTGGCTCTTCCTCACCACCCCGTGATTCGGGTTCTTCACCACTGTGATGATCCTCACCATGACGCTCCTCCCCCTGGTGTCCCTCAAGGTAACCCCTCACTCACCGTTTAGGGAAACGAAGGAGGCTTGGGGGGGTCACCGTGTGAAGAGGTAGAAGTTTATTGGAATATAAACATTCAGATAACATGTAAGATAGAAAAAAAACAACAACAACATATACAGACACTTGTTGGAAGGAGACGTTGAGGTATTTATCCACGGCCTAGGCTATCACATTTTTTTTTTTAGATTGATTTTTTTTTTTTTTTATTTTTTAAATAGGTAAGAAAACTAGTAACAAGGCTGCTGCAGCTGTTTGGTGAAAACATCTTCTGATCTGAACCCGTTTGGAGCACACACACACAGCGGCCAAAAGGACTCAGTGTGACACATTCATGTTCACTTCTGGGAGCTGAGCAGGAGCACAGCCTCCTCATCACCATCTTTGGGCCTCCCACCATAACTCAGGATCTGCTGGAAGAAGATGAGCAGGTTTGGCTCTTCTTTTGTGTATTTCTTGCCCCCCCCAGTTGGGCAGCAAACAGAGATGGCAAATGCCCGTGAAACAGGGCCCATGAAACAGGATCATCCTGGCTGCACAGAAACAAGCTGGGGGGCTTTTTATTTTGATTTTTTTTTTTAATTTTGGCTGCTCACTGCAAAACCTTCGCTGGTCTGGAGCTGAAAGAGAGTTAAGCCACACTGCAATGCGGAGCACTTCACACGAGGAACAGTCCTACCCGCAGTATCAAAACCCCTGAGAACGATACAATCGAACACGGTCGAGTGAAATGAAGCAGAGCTGGGGAGAGGTGGGAGCCGGGGGCGGTGTGTGGATCCACCACCCCCGTGACTTGGCCCTCCCCAGCTCCTCCGCCCTGTCTCTGCTGCTGGTTTCCATAACCCTGTCCCCAAAGCCTGGCAGCTCAGTAGGAGATCTGGAGCTCAGCGAAACCCGCGTGAGGCCAGGATCAAAGCCGGGCTCAGGGACAGGGCTACTCTTCACAGTCTGAATGGCTGGCCCTCCTCATCGGGGGCTGAGGGAGGAACCACTTTATTGTTGCAGCTTATTTTTACTGAGGTATCTGTTACGCATCCTGACTTGATTCTTTCCCTGAATCGGATACAAAACAATCTGTTAGTCCCTGTCTAAGTTCCAGTCTAGTTGTGTAAAGCTTATAAACATTAATACTCTAATAGTGTCAAAGCTGTTTAGCAGTTCAGTGATTCGAATGCCTTTCTGTGCAAGAGAACACAATGTTAGCATGTGATACATCAGCAAAACCACCCATTACTAACCTCTGCTCCCCAGGACCAGAGAAGAAAGCGTAAGGAAAAGCAAAAAGTGCCCCAGTCCCACTTGTAGGAAACAGCCCCCAAACCCACCCCCAAATAAAATAAAATAAAAAAAAAAATAACCAAAACAAACAAAAAAAAGGGACAAAAAACCACCCCCTAATCTGAATGAGTCCCAGAGTTTGGAAAGATCCTCTCTGAGCCTGCAAGGATAAAATGCTGTGGGGTCTGCCAAACAAATGCCCTGCAGCCCCGGAGCAGCTTGGCTTCCCCAGGCCTGGTGGTGGTTGTTACTCCAGCTAAAAGCAGCCACCTTGGAGCAGCATCTACCTCAGGACACGTGCATCCCCTCTTCCTCCCTCTGAGTCCTTCCACAGCGGGGTAACTCAAGCCTTAATAATATATAAAACCCAGGAGGTCTTATGCCAGCCTTAGCAGGAGCACTCGGCTCTCAAGGACAGAGCAGCAGCCCAGCCAAGTAGTACTGGCAGGTGTTAAAAAGGAGAACCTGACATTTGAATGTTTAAAGGATCGCTAATTTTGTTTTCTGGGTATGTTTTCAAGCCTGACCCTCAGGTTGCTATGGGGCTTATTCCCAGTGGTTTTTAAAGCCTTGCTCTTTTCAGTAGTATAAAATCAGTTTCTGGGAACAGGACATCCTAGGAGCACAGGGACCGTGCCACAGCTAAGCAGAGATCTCACAGGAGGGCATCTCCCCTGTCTTTGTCAAGTCTCACAGATACCAGGACAGGCACAAGCTGCTCGCAGTGCAGCACAGAAATCACTGGGCAGGGAAGGGACAGGCCTTGGGCAGCCACAGGGGCCTCGGGCCTCCTGCTCTGCACAGAGCTAAACAGGACAGACATGTGGAAATGTGATTTTAATGGGCTGAACCTCTGGAGCTAACAATGTGGTTTCAACTTAGATGGTCAAATCGGGTGGTTTTTACACAGGCACCTCTGTACAGGTGGAAAGGGAGAACTGCTTATCAAGGGCTCCCCAACATGGCTTAGTCTTGTAACGTAGACAGAATGAGCTGGGTCTAACAGAGCCCAGCACAGCTGAGGAGGTGGTTGGGTGCAACACTACTAGATAAAGCTGTGCACTTTCAGGAGCCAGAGGCTTGGCAGATAGATAGCATGAGCAGTGCCAGCCTCTCCCTTTGCTTTGCTGAAGGCAAACACAGATCCTGGAACTTGGAAAAAACAACAGGGACTTTTGAGACACCCTGGTGTACAACATGAAGGACAGGTCTTCTAAGAAGGCAGTCACTTTTGCCCTCTTCTACCTGTACCTCTCCTCCTGTGGCACGTACGTGTCCTGGGACAATGCTGTTCCACCTGTCTCCTGCTGGCCTAAAGGATGGGGAAGCCACTGCTCATTAGCTCAGTCTTTGTTTTTTTCTGTCTTTGGTGATACAATTAAAAAAAATAAAACACAATGTCAGCAAAACCACATATAAAAAACAAGCGATAAGATATGCCAATACTTCCTGAAGAGGTTAAAAAACAACCAACCCAAAACAAACAAAACAACCCAACAACAAGTACATTATTCTGAGGTATTTCATCTGCTCAAAAAAAAAACCTGACTTGGGCCTCAAGAATGGGAAGGACGTCACCAGGGCAGGATGGATGGTGCTTGGACCTGCTCTCCAGGCTAGGGAAAAGGCCAGAAGAAGAGAAGGGACAGAATGAGGCCACCTGAGCAGGAGCTGAGGTCATGGAGTCACTAAGTCAGCTTGGTTGGCTCCAGGCCTAGAAGAGCCGGGGCCAGCCTTCGCTTGCTTTCAACTGGAGGTTTGAGGGGAAAAGGCAAGAAAGGGCTTGATTTTCATTGCTCTGCTTCTACCCAGGACAGCAAAAGTTCCTACTCAACTGAAAGCCGCTTTCTTTTTGCTCATGGACAATTTGAAGGGGACCAGGCTTCTGTAGGCTTGTTCAGAGACCACCAAGACAACGTGAGTGTAACATTAACTGCAGTATCTACGCACATGCCACAGCCCCACTGAATGAAATTTAAAATACCACCTTCTGTTTTCTCAGAGCACAGACACGGAGAGCTTCCCAGGGCTACTGACAGCTACCTTACGAGAAGGAAGTCACCCCAGAAGCCTAGATCAACCTCAGTGGTGGTCCTTTTGTGTCATGGGGCAGAGGATTGGAACACCAAGCCACCGTAAGTTCAGGCTGTCAGAGTAAATATCAATGGGATGAGTTCCTCAAGGGGAAATAGAGAAGGTTAAGGGCATTCAAAACTTGGCTGAAAGCCTGAAGGCAACAGTAGGGAAGAGGCCAGCACCAGCCAGGAGAACAAAAACAGCCGATTAGAAGGTTTTTGTTGTGTCTGTGGGTCAAATGTAGTGGCGAGAGAAGTCCTTCTCCTCTTGCCAAGAGCTCAGAGGGGAGGAAGGAGGCTCACAAGTCAAGAGCACGCATTCTACAGGAGGACACACCACCACCAGACCACGGCAGAGCCTGAAGGGAAGTGAGGAAGCTCGTCTGCTCTGCAGCACAAGCCACGGGAGGACAGGGGCCAGGCACCCTGCCAGCTCTCCGGATTGTCAACACAGAGTCGTTTTGTGGGAAGAGTCCCAGTGGCTGCTGGTTCCAGGAGAACCAGGTTTCCCTGCCCCAACTCCAAGCTTTTTCCACCTGCCTTGGTGATGTCTCAGCCATCTCTCAACCCACAGCTCCTACAGAGGATCCCTGATTGAAAAACGCCAGGCATGCCACCCCCGCCCTGCTCCCCCCTCCATGTCCCACCCCCCAATAGGAACACAGCAAACCCTGGGAGGAGGAGGAATAAAACAAAAAAAGCATCAAGGGAGGAAGAAAGGGGGAGAACAAAGAAAAAGGCTGGACAAACAGATGATGAAGAATAACTCGCTGGCATGGAAAGGTTTCAGCATCATCATCTTGCCGTTGGCCAACCACAAAAGCAGGTTCCTTGAGATGAGGTAATCTGTGCGATTCCTTCCCAGCTCGCTCCCTGCTGAGAGCAGAGAGGAAGAGCTGCTGGAGGCCAAGTGGGAGAGACAGCAGGGGCTGGGCCGTCCATCAGAGAGACCAGCTGGTGGAGGGCTCTGCACTGGGGGTTCCCCGGGATGAGGTAGGGCTGGGAGAGCAGTGGGAGCTGCTGCTGCTGCTGCAGGAGCTCTGGGCGCTGGAGCCTGCAATGAGGTGGACGACCGGCTTCTGGGCAAACAGCACTCCTGGAAGGCAAGAAAGCAGCAAAGAGGAGGGTTAATGGGACTGTGGGGTGAGGAGGATGGGGTACCAAGCAAAGGGTGCTCTACCCGCCCCCAGAGATCCCATCCCAACAGAAAGAGACAGATCAGAAGGGATCCCCCAGGGCTTGTCCTGGCAGCCTCCGTTACAGGAATGTTCTGCTTGCAGAGAAAGATCTCAAACGGCTTCAACACCTTTGGAGGAGAGAAGCAACTGTTGTCGCACTGCAGTGCCAGGCCTCCAACTTGGGCTTTGTCCGAGGATGCGTGTGGGTGACCTGCCAGAGTGAAACAACTTGAGCAGGGCACAAGGGATGACAATTCCTGCTTCCCAGGAAAAGCAGAGTAAGGCCCTTCTCCTCAGCAGCTCCACCCTGTCAACACTTCCACCCTCTCCCCATCCCGCGTGCTGCTCTGCACCCCTGGCCTGGCTCTCCACCCAGCCCCAGGAGCAGTTCTTGCTCACCAGTGTAAATTGTGCCGTTAATCTCCACCGACATGTTAATACTCCCAATGCCGCTGGGGGACAAATTCAGCGCTGCCGCCGCCGCCTCTGGTTTGTCTTCTTCCCAGAAAGAAAAGATGCAGAGTTAGAGAGCAACTATCCCGTTCCCTGCACTATCCAAGGCGTACACAGCGCTCTTCGGTGAGGAAATCCCCACACCATGTCCACTTCCAGTCCTGTTACAAGTCTATGAAAGCGTTAAAGCGTTTCAGTGGGAACTGAGGACAGGCTGGGAGCCCGTTGGCTTTTGCAAATCTCTTCCTGACACACAGAGGAGGGAAAAATGAACGAGAAAAAGCTGCTGGCAACAGGAGACAAGCCTGTGTTTAAATGTGCTGAGCTGTGCCTGCTTTTGCAGCGGACCAGGAGCACACGGACAGTCCTCCAGCCCTTGGCTGAAGGCTGGCAGCTCCTCAGGGAGCTGGGCTCAGCCTGCAGCAGCTCCAGTGGCCACTGGAGGGAGAGGACTGAATACCCGCAAGGATCAAACCCAGAAACACTCTGCTAGTGAGAAACCTGGGTTTTCCTGCGTGTTTTAGAAACAGTCATTTCTAAGCCATGATGGGCAGCTCTGGAGGCATCAATGCAGAGCAGGGGTTCAGTCTGCACTGTTTATGGGGAGCTGAATGTCAAACTCAAGCAGGCAGTTCTGAAGCTCCAAACTAAGCAGTCCCTAACCATCAGCCTGCATCGCAGGATGTGTTTTTAGCTCCTTTGAGCCTGCCAGGACAGCAAGTCCTCTGTAAAGAACCCTAAGGACACTTAGCATACAACCTAAATGTTGCTATCAAGGCATGATAAGCTCAGACGGTGCTTTTCAAGAGCACCTCTCAAAACATTTTAAAAAGCACAACATGATTTTCATTTTGCAATTTGGACAATTAGGGCACAGAAGAGAGGATGGACTCACCCACAGTCAGCTAGCAAAGGTGGGAAGAGTATCATTGAACACCTGGGGCTCGTCCCACATCCTGCTACTCTTTGTATAGACTAAAATTGTTCCTACTAGTTTGATTTAGGAAGTTCAGGGTGGAGAGACAAAAATAAAGTGCGATGAGAGAGAATGAACGTTATGTGATAAAATCTGTATTCTATTTTACTCACTGTTTTTCATTTTTGGTTTTTTTTTTTTATCTAAGTGTGAACTGCAGGTGGACGCAGAGCTGTCAGGAGCCGTGATGTGAAGTCCCAAGCATGTTTAACTCTGCAGTAAGCTGCTACTGCTTCAGAGAGGAACCTGCTTTGACCCTTTGCCACAGGTATTTCTGGCAAACAGTCTCAATAAAGCATTTACCAGTGTCGCTAGCAGAGGCCTCAGGAACAACTTTTCCCTGTCTTCTAAGCCATGCCAAACTTGCCTGGCCTTGTGCTTACATCCCTATGTACAATTAACAGGGAGCCTGAGACCTCTAATTTTAATGGATCAAAAGCTTTGGAGGAAGCAGCTGTTGAGACTGAAGTTTTCTGAAGCTTGGCAGCCCTCAGGACAGGTAAGGGAGCCGCAGCACTTAATCAGCTTTTGAAGGGACTATATAACAGTATTGATTGTGACAATGTGACCTTTCCAGGGTGACTGTCCCCCTTTTACAAAGCGTTTCAGGAGCACATTTCCCAGGGCATGAATGCTGGTTATATGTGACCTTCTCACCCAGCCTTGCCAATTCCTTTGCCTGGAGGCTGTGAGCTGGGCTGCAGCAGATGTTGGCTGAAATTACCTGACTTGCTAAAAGGCCTGGGATGTGTATACATGAGGTGGTCTTTGTGGCCTCCTCATCACACCTGACAAAGGGTTCCTAAAAGCCAGGCATGTCTCTTCTTCCATGGAAAAAACTGTTACCTCCACCATCCATTAAAACGGTTCCTGATCAGGAAAGGACAGAAAACCATTGCTGGCAGCACAGTGCAGGAGAAAGCTGAGCATCTAGCACATGAGGATTTTCCCCTCCAGAAGTTTTTTTACAGGCTGCAGAGTCACAAGGCTGCTGTGAAGTACACCCCAGGTATTAAACAGATGGGGTCAGACTTGTCCCAAAGCAATTTCAGCCAATCCATGTGACCCATAGAGTCACAGAATCATTTTGGTTGGAAAAGACCTTTAAGACAGAGTCCAACTATTCCCCCAGCACTGCCAGGTTACCACTAAACTGTGTCCCTCAGCACCACATCTCCAGGGGTCTGAAACCCCTCCAGGGACAGGGACTCCACCACTGCCCTGGGCAGCCTGGGCCAGGCCTGGACAAACCTGTCAGGGAAGAAATTCCAGCTCTGGATCCAGATGATCCTGGATTATGCATCAACAGGAATAGAATAAAACCATCAGCAGTAAAATATTGCTACAGTTTCGCTTTGTAGTTATTGTGCCCTATTTTAATAGCTTCTCGATGCTGATCTCTGCCTGGAGATAACCAAGCCTGTGTGTAAAGGTCTTGGACATCCTAGATCAGAGTAGTCCAGCTGGACAGGCTGCCGAGGCCACCTCATCTAGATTGTGCTTTTCCCCAAGAAAGGCTGGACCACGTGATCCTTGAGGTCCCTTCCAACCTGTCAGTCTAACTCGGTTCCCTCCCCGCTGCAGTGGGCCAAGCCCTTTTGTGTTCGTAGGGGTGCTGGTGCTTACCCTTGCCATTGATTTTGATCTTCATGGGGAGCTGCCGTGCCATGCTGAAGAGGTTACGCTGCAGAGCCTGCTGGACAAGCCGCTGCTCCTCCTCCGTCATCCGCGAGACCTTCTTCTCTGGGGGCTCTCCCGATTCCAGCCTCTCCCTCAGCTGCTCCAGCGTGGCCGTTCTTGCTGCCACGGATGCCTGCTGGCTAGCCAAGGTCACTGGCACGGCGATACGGTTTGGCATAGACATGGTCAAGGGCACACCGTCACCTAGAAGAGGACGGAGCCACTCAAGTCCCTCCCACAGCCCTTCCTAAAATGAACATGCACCACTTTAAAGTATGGGCAGGATATCCCTGCAAGCCCAAGTGCCACTGCTCTCCAGTTCAAAGCAGTCTAGGGGGGATCCCAAGCCACCCTCTTTGCTGCGAGTAAAAGTAGCTGACCTTTTCTGACAGCTCCTGCTGGAGACACCCGAGGATTGCTGGTCCCGCTGCCTGGCGCCACGCCGATGATGGGGAAGCGGATCTTTGGGGGAGAGAGGAGAGAAGGAGGTCCCGTGGTGGTGGGCGAGTAGCTGAACAGAGAGGAGCTGTAGCTGGGCCTCCTGCCCTCCCGCCTGTTGCCGTCGATTGCAGCCTGAAGCTCAGCAGGAGAACTGAGGGATTTCTTCTCGCATTCGTAGGCGTACAAGTACTTCATGTACCTGGGGGAGAGGTGAGTGCGGGGAAATTCAAGGAGGTTTTTCAACAGCACATGAAATGAGAGGTTATGGTAGCACGTGTTGTGTTCAGGAAGGCTTTCACACCGAGGGCTCTGGAGTCTTTGTCTACGTGTCACGACCACTGCCACACTTTGGTAAGCATTGAACAGTCTGGGCGTGAAGTGCAGCTCTCAAAGAAACTTCAAGTTTACTCAGTGTTCATAGGGAAGCACATAGTTATGTACTCCTACACTCATGAGGGCAGAAAAAAATCATCCAGAATCCCTTTACAATTGAGATACCACCTAAACCGAGAAGAATTACGATTCTGAACCGTAAGACTTAATGCAAGGAAAGAAGCTGGAGAAATTACCCTCATCCAAGTCATTTGTACCAGGCACCACTAAATCTTACTGCCTTTGCTGAGTTCTGGCACACACGTTTGCAGGAGACTGCTTGTTTGTACCAAAGGCTGTAGAAACAGCAAGGAGCTTCCCTCTCTGGGACTCAGGCTGGAAGAACTTCCAAGAAATAAGAGCTGGATGTGGATTCCCAGGGCCCAGACTTCTGTGCTCCAGTCACTAAAGCACAGCTTCACCCTGTTGCGTATGTTTTTACAGGAGGTTTACTTCCAGCAGCCTTTTCCCTATGCTTATTCTACTTAGCCTTCCTTTTTTGTCTTGGCTAATCAACGTGAGGTACTGCAGAAAGAGAATCCTCACAGCAAGTAGGTGCTAAATGGAAGTTTCCACAACTTTGTAGGGCTAACAGGCATTAAACGATCAAGTTCATACTTGGTGCCTACAAATCAAGAGGCCTCCTCTCCTCCAAGCACTCTCCAGAGAGAGAGCAAGACCCTTCTTGCCCCGAGGAGTTTAAGCTCTGTGGAGGCCAGAAAAGGGAAGTATGGAGGTGCAGAGCACAGCGAGGGATGTTTTAGTGCTGGGGTTGTTCACACCCATGCTCTTGGACTTACTGAGTTCGGAGCGTGAACGCAGCACTGGTGATGGAGGTGGGCAGGTTAAGGCCTTTGGTGATCTCTCGCCAGATCTTCTTGTTGATGATTTCCACCAGCCCTCCTTTCTCAGTCACCAGCTTGTAGAGCATGTAAAGATCCAGGATCTGCTTTGCCATGATGGGGATCCGATTGATGGGAGTTCCTGCAGGGAAACAGCAGGGAAGGAAGAGTGGAGTCTGAGAAAAAATGAGGCCAATGAAATGGACAGGTTGGGGCTATTGATCTTCCTTCTAATAGGAAATTCAGGCAACTCTATTTGTAGCCTGACTTGAGGCCTCTTGATGGGTGAGTAATTGAGCCCAGAGAAGTGTAGCTACATGGCACATCCTTTTCGTGAAAAATCCTTTCCTGTAGGCAAAAGCAATTATCAGACAAATAATAACCTGCAGCTAAGAGCAACTTCTGAAATAGAAAGAGGGGAAGCAGGGACTATTCAATCCTAGGGGCACAGAGGAATAACTTTTTATGAGCTCCCAGGGCAATCTCAGATAAAAATCTGTATTGCCTGGGCTCAGGAAGGGTCTGAGCAGCCAGGCAACTCGAGCTACCTGCAGGTTGGGATTTGGCTCCCTCCATCTTGAGGATTTGTTATCCTATATTGCTCAGGAACAGTGACAGAAAAGGGCGTGTGACACCTGGGAGCACCTCCCACCCCCACATACAATTACCTCTGCCCTCCCTCACATCTTGCCGCAGCTCCCACTCTCACAGAGCAATTTCAGCCTCCCATCCTTTGCCCTAAACATGCTCCCCAGTGACCCACAAGCCCACACGGGTACCTCAGCAGCAGCTTCAACCCAGCTGCCAGAGCAGTAACATGGAGCCCAAAACAAGGTCCTGTTCTACCCTTGCAAGGACAGCCAGGGAGAGAGCTCTGTCCTTCCTGTTCAAGCTTGTCTTCTTAGAGCCACAGAATCATTTTGGTTGGAAAAGACCTTTTAGCTCATCAAGTCCAATCACTAACCCAGCCCTGCCAGGGCACCACTAAACCACATCTCCAGGGCTTTGAAACCCTCCAGGGATGGGGACTCCACCACTGCCCTGGGCAGCCTGGGCCAGGCCTTGACAACCCTTTCAGGGAAGAAATTTATCCAACTGTCTGTTAAGAGGTAAGGAAATCTGATTTTTAACCTGGTAATGCCCTTTTAGCAGCACCTTTAAGTGACAAAGCGTGCAGGGTTTGGAAAGGTCAAACTAATGAGATTTGGGCAAGGAGAGGAAGAAGGCAGAAAAGTGCTGATCCAGCAAACCTTTTATTTTGCCTAGGAAATAGTGTCCTGGATCAAAGAGATGTCCATCTGAGGTCAGTATCCTGCCTGCCACAATGGCTAGCGCCAGCCTTTCCAGGAAGGCCTGCAAAGCACTGTAATGGACAATTATGGGATACCCAACCCACAGGGGAGGCTCCTCAGCCAGCCACTTGGCTAATGCCCTGAAGCAAAGGAGTTTATGGCCCTTATAAATGGAGCTTATTCTGTTTAGTGAAAAGGAGTTCAGCTCAGCTCTGCAGATGTCCTCATTATACATGTAAGTGTAATTTTTTTTTTCCCCTTTCTCTTTTCTGTTTGAAGCCTGTTACGCATTAGCTCATGGTACCAATTTCCACAGGTTAATGAGATGTTGGATAGACAAAGTAAACTTTATCAGCTTTAAAAAATGTCTGCCTTCAGTTTCACAAAGTTGCTGAAACTGGAAAAAAACAAAGAGCAACCTGACTAGATTTGGGCTGCACGCTCCGTCATTTTATATCACATCCTCTTCTCCTTGCCTTGTCTAAACAACTCCTTCCCTGTCCACAAAGCAGTAATTCCACAAACTGCATCAGATCCTCTTCCTGCATTTCAGAGATGACAGCCCCCTTGGGGAGCAGAGACAGAGACGCTTCCAAACTGTTTAAACTTGCTGTGGCTCCAACCCTCCCAGCCGCGCCCCCCCCCCCCCCCCCCATTTTTTCCCCAATCCAGGAGCTGGTCCCTCCCAACAGGCCAGGCCACAAACGCAACCCTCAACTTGCTTCAGCTTCTCCTCAGCCACCATTTTGTCTCGGTGTGTTATTGCAAAGATGAAGGGCACGCTCACAGCCTCATTTCAGAGACAGAGGGCTGGGTGCGATCATGTTACCAGCCTTTAGTTATCATTCATCAGCTGAGCCACGGTAACCAGAGTCACACCCAGCCTGCTCCAAATGAAAAGCAGGGTAATACTTCTTTCAGGGGTTTCTAGGAAGAGCCAGGGGTGGGTTTGTTCCACCCAAACATGTCTCTTCATTAACAGTTGAGCATTTCTGCCCCAGCAGCAAGGAAAACTGGGGGCCCTAAGCAGCACCCCATTGCCAGGTAAAGACTTTGCTCCCCTGGGGCAGGATCAAGACCCTCTCCCCAGCTCCCCCAGGAGCCCTGAGCCACTCTAAGCCACCCACTTTTCCACAATCCAATTTAGGGAAGAGCATTAACTTGTACAGCTGAGACTTTCATCCAGCTCTCCTTGGACAGTGACCAGATGGGGAGTGAAAGGGAAGGTTCACAGACGAAGCTCTTCAGGCAAACAAGCTGCTAATACAGAAGTATAAGGAAGTATCTATGTTTTAATACACTGCATTTATCCTGAACGCAGTTTTATTCTCTAGATCCTTCCATCCTGGCATTTGAAAAGGTACACAGGTATATTTATCCAAATGCTCCTGGGAGATGGACAGGCATGATCTACACAGATAGGAAATACAGTTTTAAATCCAGTTCCAGAGCTGCTGCTCATAGCAGGAGTAGAAACAGCCATCAGATCTGACCTCCCTGCCTTGTGTTACTAACCCTTTGACACCTTCCCATCCTGAAGTTTGCTTTTAAACAAGACCTGCAGACCAGAATTCCCTGACATTTAATAAGTAAAACTTCTAGGTTTTTTTCCAACCCATAAATTTTTTGGGCAGGCTGAGAAACTTTACAGCAGGGACAAAACTACTCCCATCCTTCCACCAGCTGAGTGTGGAGATGCCATCATTTCCCTCCCATACTTTTTCATAGCACTGCTCCAAGAAATGTCCCCCAGCAAAGAGTGATTTGGGGTTTGGACCTGGTACATGAACTGCTCCTCCCCCAGCCCCTCGCTGAGGAAAGGCGATAAAGTCTTTATTGGAAACCCCCGGCGCTCAAACAGGAAAGGCTGAAAAACGAGTATCATGGGACCACTGGATGCTGGAAGCCCAGCGGATCCTTTCACAGGCGGCTGCGAGGCTTGTCAGGGGCCGTGATGGATTACTGTCATCTGGCAGCATCAGGATTAATGATCCGGAGGTCAGAGGGGAGAATTCCAGAGGGAAAGGTCAGCAGCCGGGGGCACAGCGTAAGACTTGTTGCCTTTTGATGGCAAACTCATTTTACTGTACTTTCAAGGCTCCCTACTCTGCTGCCTCTCAGAAATGCTATACGTACTGTGCTTGCCAAGAGCCAGAAGCCCTGCCTAACTCGAGAAGAGGGCAAGGAAGATGCCTGCTTCCCCTCCTCGTTTTCTCAGTAAAAGACTTTCCCTCTTTTTAGTATAGCCCCACCTACACTGGCCCAATCCTGCAAGGACTCAGCCAAAGGGGGGAACACAAAGTGTTCGTTTCCAGTGGCAAAGGGACAACGTCTCCTATGCTCAGCAGCTACACCTCACAAAGACAAACTCTAGGAGGAAAAAGCAGAATTATCCCACAGCCCATAAGCTCCAGGTTTTCTGAAGGGAGAGACAGCTGTAACTACAATTCAGACTTCTGGAATACAGAGTTTCCCTGGAGGAAGCCTGACTGTAGCTATAAACATCTCTGTTCTTCAAGGGAAATAAGCAGCCCCTTCTGCCAAGCTTTTCCACCCCGTTCAAAAGCCTCTTCTGTTGCAGGCAGACTTAACAGAAGCCTAAAGGGCTTATATGCACAGCCTTGAATGTCCCTTATGTCCCCTGTGCTGGAGAGGCAGAAGGGGCAACTGTTTGATTTTCATCCTTCAAGAGCTATTTAAGAAGGGGCTGAGGGAGCTGTAAACCCCAGGTAATGTTTGACTCGCTGTTTTTACATCTATTGGCACTGAACCCAGGGAAGGGACATTGGCTGAGCCCTCAGCACACACAGGCTCCACTCCACTCAGTGCCAGGGCTCAGCCTTTTCATGTTGTGAAAGGGAACTAAACTTTGGACCAAGAACCTTCCTCACCCATCCAAGCATCCTGCCCAATGTGGTATTTTTCCTCTTCATCCTTTCTTAGCCAGCTATCAGAATTAGATCTAAATCTGAAGATGTTCAACAAGGAAAAGTGCCCCCTTAGACTGTTCTTAACCGAATTACAGAAAACCCTTTCTCATTTTGCAAGGATTTGCTTGACTTGGCGAGTCCTCCGCAATGCAGATGCCTTTTGCCAAGGGCCACTCTCTCCTCTCCCCTCCTTGTGCTGAGCCATGCCCACTGCAGGGAGTTCCGCACCAGTGAGCAGCCTAAGCTGTGACTTGTCCTGCATGCACCAGACAAAGAGCAGTTAATTATACCCAGTCTGCAGCACTACTTTTTCAATCACCTCCCAAGTTTTTTCTCTCTATCCAATTTACTTTCAGAAGTGTCCATTTTTTTAGCAAGGAACAAAGGTGGTGACAACATTTATTCTGCAGAGAACATTCAAAGTGCAATAAAGCACTGTCTAGAGTGAAAAATAGGCACAGAAGTGTAATTTTAAAGCTACAACCTGTACAGGTAAGGATAGAGCTGCTCTTTCCACCTTCTGCTCTAAATAGGTTCAGAAGAGAAACAATATCAGATAGCCAAAATGAACAGGTTTTCGACAGGTGATTGGGAAAGTCCAGTCTAGTGTAAAATAATTTGGAACCATGTCTTGAAAAGATCTTCATGTGACTTTGAAGGGAGACAGAGTAATTACTTGGTACGAATGATCTCCCCACTCTCCCAGGCTAGGCAGAGGTAAAATTCAGTTCCATGCCAAAGCAGCAGTGTAGAATACAAGCAAACAAGTGGCACCCATCACTCTCTCAGTTCCTGGTTTGCCTGAATTTCACTCCAAGGACAAACCCCAGCTGGCTCCACATGAACCAGCCTTTCTGGCCACCCCCAAGCTCCTTCACCACGAGTTTAATCTGCCGATTTGGTTGGCATCTCTCCCACTC